GGAATCCGAAACGTCAGGACAATAAAACTCTTGTTCCAGTGATCGCATCTTCGTCTTCTAACATGCGAGTCCCAGGAAGTCATTGAGAAGAAGACGACTCGATCGCTGGGTTAATATGTTTAGTTGTCTGACGTTTCGAAATCCCTCGCGGATTCATCTTCAGAGACATAAACACAGAACAGCAGCAGATACAGATAGTTTTTGCACAGGAGTCTGCCGTAAAATTAAAGCGTACAGAAAAAATCGCCAAATGCTTGGAGTGTGCGCTGATTCTTTACGTCAGCAATTATTTTCTCAAGGCCCTATTGCGGCCGATTCTAATTCCTGAGAAGGACAGCTTCACCTCATAATTCGGCAGCCCTCCAAGTCACAGCAGTCCTATCAGAGTTTTTTAATCTTGAGGATGGATTCTTCAGGGTCCGCCTTAACCTCTCTCTCTCTCTTCCCTCCGCACAAAAATGAATCGATTGCCACGTCTCGCTGCCAACTAGCGATAGATAACATTTAACCTATCAGCCTCAAATTGGATCGATAAACTTGTCAGGAGAGAAACGAAGTCGGACTTTCTAGCAGTTAAGAGTAATCGTTAAACAGGTGCCCGTCGTCCTTTCTTGAAGGTATTATGTCCCCAGTACACGCACCTCATTCAAAAAGAACGCATCGAGGGACAGGCTAATGCATGAAATTTCTGCATTTCGTTCAAAGCCCACGCACCTTCATTATGAAGGCTAACTGCCCGAGTGAAGCTCAAAAAAATCATCTTACTGTTCAGTTCGGTATCGGAGGGAAAGCCAACTTCGTCCTCCCCCCCCCAATACATTTGCTTCTTAGAAATTGTTTATCTGTACATAAAGCATCGTTTTCTTGGTGCAAATTTGAAGATTGAATAAACAGCAGAATTTAACAAAGCCAGTAACTTTCGCGAGTGCTCTTCAGCTGTGGCTTCTCGCTGCATAACACGAATAACAAATGAGAGAATACTAAATTAAATTTGTACAGAAAAATCGATGCATTCAGCCACCTCTACTAATTCCACGTGTAAAGGAGGCCTTGCCAGTGTCCGCCACTTCCAATTGTGTCTATGAATTCACATGCGCCTGTGGATGCAAGTACATAGGGCAACCGCAACGACAATCGGCAGCCGGATCTAAAGAGCACTTGCCTAGATGGCAATTGAAAACAGCAAAATAGAATTCCAAGTTCATCTATCAGGGATCACTTATTTAATACGGGTCGCTCAGTGGACCTTAAAACATCCTCCCGAGTACTGGCTCAGCCACGAACTACTCGGACCTTGCTCTACCTGGAGGCAGCCTATAAGCAGCGGTTCAAACCCGACCTATATAAACAGTTGGAGCATTTGGTGAACCTAACTTTGCCTTGGTAACATCCAGCTCCCTGATTTACACATTACTCTGCCCACCTTTTGCCTCAAACGTTTTTTCCCCACATTTGCTTTCAACAGTGTTTTAACTTGCTTACATTATTGATTAGCTTTCGTGGTCATTTTCTATGACTCTGACGTTTGAATCGATTTTTCTGTGTGAATTCAATTTTTGTATTTGCCCATACGTTACTCATGTTATGCAGCGAGAGGCCGCAGCTGAAGAACACTCGCGAAATTCAGTGGTGCCATTAAACTCTGCTGACTATGCTGCCGTCTTGATATTTGTACCAAAAATAGTATGCGAATGCAAGTTGCTCACACAGAGAAACACAGTAAATGTGAAATGTAGGTGCGATGCAGGCATATTCCTGCTGGTCACTTGACCTCAACCCTGCTGTCGACCGGTGTCGGTAATCGGTAGCCGCATCACCATGGATGCGTTGTACTCAAAAAAATTTAAAATGAGTGACCACCTCCAAGCTCCTCCATAGCAATGGGGATGAAGTGAAAACAAAGGGAACACCAAAAGCTTCAAATTCTTAATGAAGGTTCAAGCGATGAATTGAAACGTGTGCTAATAATCATGGACATACCGGTTCAATCTGCTTGTAAGTAGAAAATATTAATTCAACAAACAACCAAAACTGCTTACGAGTTAATCTACTCCAAAATCAACTATCATTTTCTAGGACGCCTAAAAATCTTGCTAGTCATATGCGTAAGTCACAGAAACAAACATATTACGTCAATCACGCGTAGTTTTTAATCAGTCTTTAGTGTCCGCATAGGTTTGATCACACCACCTAGGAGTGATGTAAGAAATCTTCGCAGTTCTAGGAGATCATATCTTTTCAAAATTTTCTATCTGCAAGAAGGCTTTTTATCGGGTTTTAGCCAGGTTCTATTCAAGAAAAATATTCTGGCTCTTCAATTATCATTTATATATACTGGTACTCCCAGCTCCCTCAAGGCTACTTCCAAACTACTCAGCGTGTTTTATCTCCGCTGCAATATTTCCTAGGCGGTACGTGACCTCTTTGCAGAAGGTTATGGAGCTGGATGAATTTCACCAGACACAATCTGTACTTTGTTATTGTAACAGTAATAGAACACGTTAAAAGACAGGTTGCATTAAAACAGATGAACATATAAGTAAGCAATTGAAAAGTAAACGTAAACATCACGGAAAACAGTTTCGTAAATTTTGTCTATCAAACATAAAATAATTGATGACACAAGTATAATACCTAATCAGATGGATCGGATGTACACTCCAGTTCTATCCTATTCCCCATCGCAACCGTGGTACAACGGTAGAGCGTTGCGTTGGATGACTAGAGGTGCTGGGTTCGAATCTCGGGGGTTCCGACATTTTGAAACGCGTGAGGCTTGAACCTGTGACTCGTAAGTTAGAAGTCCAAGGTCCTAACCGTTGAGTCACGGGCTGGTGGTCCTGTTGGTTGCGAAACCCTGAATTTGGTTACGGTCGGCTGATGTCGGCAAAATAAGGTGATAATGATGGTGATGATGATGATGATGATGGTGATGGTGATGATTATGATGATGGTGATGGTGATGATGATGGGACTTGGGCGGAAAGCTTCAGCGGCAACGCCTAAAAAGACTGAATCAGAACTTTCCAGGTTGGTTGTCCTTTCTTATCGTGATTTCAGATGACCTGCGGCTGAGGTAAAACTAAATGATGACGGATAGATCGTCAGTCAAGGTTATTTTATTAGTGTTGATCGGTGGTCTTAGCAGGTTTAAGATTGAATTTGCAAAACATAATAGAACAGCCATATTCAGCCTTTAATCAGTATAAGCCTTGAATATCCTTATTGCGAAGCTTACTAGGGCCTTCACGAACGCAAAATGGGATTACGGGAATTCTAACTAAAGGACAAAGAATAAGTTTTTATGCTTCTATCTGGACATTTTAGGTGCAGCTAGCCAGAGGGAACTAATAGTCATGCAGGAATCAGAGTCAACTCCAGCAGCAACCCATCTGGCCGAGTGTCCATTTACGTCTCTCGTCTCGAGTGAGCTACAGCGTTTAAACATTGAACAAAAATGCTTTCGTAGAAGACGTATGTGGAGGCCAACCATTTTTTTTTAAATTCTAGCCACTAGCAACCGCCTGCCAATCACGCTTTTTCTCGGTGATATGCTGGGACGACTGCACCTTTGGCGGCGCTGTGGCCAAAGTCGACTGACCTTCAAGTAAGCCCATGCATGCTCTCTTAACCGCCTACGCTTAGCGTGCAGATAGCAGCTGAAATAAAAAAAGTAAAAAGGACTGCCTTTAGAGGCTCTTTTTTCGCTTTGACTTATAATAACAGCTTACTTATACATTTGCAGTAGCACGACTTTCCCTTTTTCCGTTAATTTCCGCCAATATATTGTCGAGTTTATCTTTTTTGTTAAATTCCGCCAATATAAGTTCGTATTTCCATCAATGGGTACCAGTTGCCTGAGCAACAGGAGTTTATGTTAGCTCATTAAAATAACTAAATATTGCTTTAATTTAGTATTCCTTAGTCACATTCGACACAGTTGCACATCCATTTACACTCCTTAATCAATAATTAAATGGGTAAGACAGTTGTGCGGGTGGAGTAGACTATGACAATGTTACAATTTGAGAAGAAGAAGACTCGATCGCTGGGACAATATGTTTATTCGCCTGACCTTTCGATATCCGTCGCGGATTCATCATCAGAGACATGAGTAGCAGAAAGGTTCAATTTCTATGATTAAGGATTCCCGACAGAATCCGAAATGTCAGGACAATAAAACTCTTGTTCCAGTGGTCGCATCTTCTTCTTCTGAAAGGCTTCCTAGGACTCGCATATTCACCCCTATTGACAAAATTCCATGGTTGGTCAGAGTCTAGGAAGATAATCTTCATTGCGCATTTAATTACGCGGTCGGTGGTGGTTGTTTTTACTTCCATCTGATTTTGAGAGTTTTGTAGTTGACATTCAAATCGATATGCTTGTTGACGCACGCCTCGTCTGAATGCATTGCCTCCAGGAATTCGCAGCCCTCCCTTATTGCACAAACGCCAACGATTTGGGTTTGCTCCCATGCAAATTCGTGCCCTGTGCCCGATGTGTGCATGGCATTCTCCGATAGTTTGCCTCGTCTCCTCACCCCAAAGTGGTGTTCATGCATGCGAGTCGATGGAGCCCTTCCGGTTTTATCACAATAGAGTGCATCACAGCTGGTACATGTTATTTTATAGACAAATTCCTTTCTGTTGAAACGGCCAATCCCGTTCTTAGGGTTTACACGCTGGGTGCGCAAAGTAACTGCCGGCTTGTGCGTAATCTGTATCTGGTGCTTTCGTAGCTGTCTTTTCTCGAATTCACATACATTTTCTACATACGGGAGCGTTCGCTAGTTTGTTCGCTTTGGCGTTTTATTGGTCGTAGCTCTGAGGATACCCTTTTCTTTAAACTCTTGTTGTCGCATGCATCGAAGAACAGAATCTGGAGGATACCAATTTTTGGGAAAATAGTTTTTAAAGGTACTTCATCAACTACGCAGTCACATTTAATCACGACTTTTGCATGCAGCCTGCGCGATACTGTATGTATATATTTTGCAGAAAAGAACAACGCGCCATCGGAAAGGGCATGAACGAGGTTTTACAAAGAGCTCTGGCTTTTACGTTGCGAAGACAGGTGGGACGTCTGACCTCATGTCTGCGAGGTATGTTGGAGCAGGGCCTGGGCGAGGCTGCCATACGGAAGAACCTGATTGCGCCCCTGCCAAGCCAACTTATTCGACTGCCCTCTAGCCCCTCCGTTGTCTACGCCGAGTGGCTTGCCTGTTTCACAAGTCAACTGGCAGTCAATGCGGTAAGTCTCTATTGTCAAATGTTGGATGTACACCGTTTTTACTTGAGAAGAGGAGAGCTTCTTTGGGAAAGTTCAAACTTTAATGCGTATAGTTTCGAGTCTGGTTCCCTAGCTCGTCGTCAGAAACAATTAACTTAATTAACCCCATCTAACAAATTATACTACAATTAGCTGTAGTCTGCGACAATAGGCGTTACACCTTTGGGACAAAAGGGTAGATTTAATCCGTGAATTTTCGAGACTGGTTCCCCAGCTCGTCTTCGGACTAACGAGGAATACGTAAAGAACAACTAACATTTTAAACGCGCGGAAAAATCAACAGTCATATGTTGTGAAGCCTGATTGGTAGTTGTGGCCTCTG